CAAAATAGATGAGTGGGACATACTAAAAATTAAAAACTTATGTGCATCAAAAGACTTCACCAGAAGAGTAAAAAGGGAACCCACAGAATGGGAAAAATTCGTTTGCAATGACACATCATACAAGGGACTCATTTCTTAAAATATATAGGAAACCACAACACCTCTACAAGAAAAAGACAAATAACTCTATTAAAAAAATGGACACAGGACATGAACAGACACTTCACCAAGGAGGAGATACAGGCAGCCAATAAATACATGAAGAAATGTTCACGATCACTAGTCATTGTTAAGTACTATGGAGTCAGTTCTGATTCATAGTGTCCCTGCACAGGATTTCCAAGGAGCAGCTGGTGAGCTTGAACCACCAACATTACAGTTCAAATGACTTTGCAGTCTGAAGCATTAGCCCACTGCGCCACACCAGGACTCCACTAACTATTAGAGAGATACCATCTCACACCAGCAATAGCAGCAAAGATCAAAAAAATAAAAATGCTGGCAGGGATGCGGAGAGACTGGGATACTCCTGCATTGTTGGTGGGATTGCAAAAAGGTCCAACCACTCTGGAAAGCAATATGGCGCTTCATCAGAAGGTTGGAAATAGAAATACCTTATGAAACAGTAATTCCTCTACTTGGTATTTACCCACAAGAAATATGAGCCATAACAGGAGTAGATATATGCACACCAATGTTCACAGCAGCACTATTTACAATAGCAAAAAGATGGAAACAGCCTATGTGGCCACCCATCAAGCGAAGAATGGATAAACAAACTGTGGTACATACACACAATGGAATATTATACTACCTTGAAGAGTAACAAGGAAGCTGCAAGCCACCGAATACCATGGATGAACCTTGAGGACATGATACTGAGTGAAATTAGTCACATAAGGAGAAATACTGCATAGGACCACTACTGTAAAAGACTAAGAAATAGAACCCATACTAAAGGGGTGGCGGAATTCTTTGCTGGTTACTGGGATGTAGGCAGTGGGGTGAGGGGAGAGAGGGGAAGGTGGAGCACAGAGTAGGGAATAAACACAAGAGAGTTTGAGTGCTGGTGGGGAGGGGGACAATACACAAGAAGTGGGAGGGGAATGGAAGAACGAAGCAGATGGAAAACATTTAGGCAGGTTTGCATGGGCTAAGTGGGACAGAGGTAAATAATGATGTATGCACAACCTTAGAACAACAGGGCTCTGGGATACAGGGATTAAGACATGGTTGGAATGGGCAAAAGGGGGGAAACAGTGTTAAGATGCTTGGCTGTCTTTTGAATCTTGGTTTCCCTGGCATACCACTATAAAATAGATACTTGAGGGGGAGAGAAAGAAATAGCCAGAAACATCACCATAGAAAGCTTGTAGTCCGTCTTCTGCCTATAGCTGACTGGAATACCTAAAATGGAACTACAACGTGCCCAGTGAAGGAGGTTTCCTGTGGAGCTTCTGCAATATAAAAGTCCATAAGTGAAATCCTGAACCTCACCCAGAATCTTCTGAGGTGGGAAATTTCCACTTGAAAGGACAAGCAGACCTGCCTGGAGTGGCTAGAAGAACAGAAGATACTTCTTGAAAGAAAGACCTTTAGGAAAAATACAAAACAGTATAGGCAGTCTGACTGATTACTACAAGAACAAGCAAGTTGCTTGCCCAGAAGATATCAAGCCAAGTGGTCGGGTTCCCTCAGGGCAAACCCCCTTCCAAGACTAAGACTCAATGGGAGTACATGCTCTGATTGCTGAACAAGTTCATCACCGATAAGGGGAAGTAAGGGAAAAACAGCAATGAAGCTGCAAGCTAAGTCCTAAACCGTTCAATAGACTCCTGTGAACTTGGGTGGAGACCTGGTTGGCCAGCAATGTGGCAAAACTTGGGGACTCTTTCACCCAGAGTCAGTGACATAGCCAGAGAGGACTAGAGTGGAGAGTGAAGCATCCAGCTGATAAGAAAAGAGGGCATATGCATAAGAACACCCACATTCCCACCCCCTCCATACACAAAGTAGACAGGATGGGCAACTTTTACATTGGCTACCCTAAATGGAGGGGCTACAAAGGCAAGAGTGACTGGCTTACAAGCTTTCAAGAGGGTGCCTAGATCCAGAGGGCGTGGAGGAAGATAGAATCTCCACTGAGTAGTATCCAATCTGTCTGGTGAGGCGGATGAAAAGACTGAAATTCAAGTGGAATACATGAGCAGGTATGTGGTCTTGCTGCTGACCACACTGGTCACTGATAAGGGGAAGTGGTGGAAAACAACAATGAAGTGAGCTAAATCCAACCACATTCAATAGACTCCTGTTAACCTGGATTGAGACCTGGCTAACCATCGTTGTGGACCCTATGTACCAAGGTGGTGGAAATGATCCCCACTGTAAAGATTTGTTCACTCCTTTGTCATACTCGCCATGCTGCTGGCCAACCAGGTCTCAATCCAGGTCGACAGGAGTCTATTGAATGTGGTCAGACTTAGCTCACAACTTCATTGCTGTTTTTCCCCTTATCGGTGACCAACGTTCTTGCTGCTGTTGCTAAGTGCCGTCAAGTCAGTTTTGACTTATAGTGACCCTTTATAGGGTTTCCAAAGAGCAGCTGATGGGTTTGAACCGTTGATCTTGGTGTTCAAATGAACCTTGTGGTCCAGGGCTTATCGTAGAGCACCACACCAGAACTCCTTAACTCATATCAGCAAGTATTAAGTCAATGAACAAAACAAAGTTATCAGAACTTGCTGCTTCAACTTATCTTGTATTAGCATTGCAACTTTGTAAACCCAGTAAAATAGAATAGAATCAAAGAAATCGTATGCTAAATCTCTGATTCTGAATGCACCTCACAAAGATAATATAATTTCCTTGGGAAATTATAACCTGTTTTATGACATAATTTCCAAAAACAGGCTGAGTAAAAAGTGACAGCAGAATACATACACAAATAATGTTATGGACTCCCCATGTAGCTGTGTTGATAACACTTCTAACAAGCCAAAATAAAATGGAGAAAAAATACTATAAAATAACACTGCATAATATTCTATATTACAAAACACATCTCTCCTCCTTATTTTGGAAACTGTATTCCCAACTAGTATAATTATGTTGTTAAGTGCCGTAGAGTTGATTCCTACACATTTGAACTGACGACCTTGCAGTTCAAATCAACATTGCAGTCCAGTGCATTGACCCACAGTGCCACAAAAGAATTCCCAGTATAAATACAGGGATTTCTAAACAGCTTACCAACAGTATTTGAGGCTGTTCACCATCTTTATCTGTCAAATGCAGAAAGTTCTTCTTTCCTGGCTCAAAACTGGCGTCAAGAAGAGACTTATCACTGGTATGATCCAGTGGCACCTAGAAAACAAAATATCTTCAATTATGAGAAAGTATTAACTGAAATAATAGAAAAAAACAAGTAATGTATAAATACAGACACATTTTACCTTTACTAGGCATAAACACTATTTAAAAAATAATTCTCATAAAATTCAGTTAGGGTACACTTAGATCTAACTTACCTAGGAATATAATATAAGTTCCCAAATAAGCAATACACTAAATTCAACACAATCAAAATAATTATTTAACAAAATAGGTACCTTCAGAAGGAAGACCATGTCTACAGTCAGGATCCATAAGATCATAAGAAGAAGAAAGCAATCATTCATTTGAAAATTAATCATCTAAGATTCTAAAATTATTTTCTCTAGTATGGCATTTCAACCTTGTCATTCTGATACGCTCAAGTTGGTAGACGGAAAGTAGAACTTTGTATGTTCCCTGTCCTATTCACCCATACTTGCTAACATTGCTGAGAAAAGTGAGGGGAGTAGGGAAGACTGTAGTCATTTGAAATGCTTTTTGAGTTTAAGAGGCAAAGTCTAAGGAATTCATGTTCATACAGCGAAAAAAATAACACCTTTAAAAAAGAGTCACCCAGATAATACACCTCAAATAGAAGTCACCTAGAGATATCTCAGTTAACAACAGAAGGGTGATATCCTTCTACTTTTTTCTTTTACAACATATATATATATTTTTCTTTTCCAAAATTTGGAACACAAATTGCTTATGATTTCATATCCATCAATTATTTATTTATGACTTTATACGTGACACTGTGGGTTAATGTGCTAGACTGAAAAGTTGATTTAAACTATAAGGTTGGAGGTTCAAGCTAACCAGCCTCTCCCCGGAAACCCTATATAGGGTCGCTATGGGTTGGAACCGATTCAAAAGCACTTAACAACAACAACAATCCATTTAGAAATGCAAATTGACCTAACATTACAATTGTTACCTTAAACGAATAGGAGAAGGGAAAAAAAAACTGACAAAAGGACATTTTTCAAACTTTATAAGTTAACGCTTAATCCAGAGTGGATAAAAAAGTAACTTCTTCCAAGTATTGAATTGCACAAAGGCTCATATAATTGTTGTTATGATTTTACTTAATATATCGGAAAGCCTTCCAGGATTCAATGTAATCATTAATAACAATAACAACAATGAATATAATATTATCATTAGCAGCTTAAGAAAAGATGCTAAGTCTAGAGGTTTACCATATCAGCAGTACTTATTCCACTTCCCCACACCAAATCAAAGGTTCCATTTATGTAGCCCACTTTGTTGGCTACATCTTCAAAGAGCTTTCTGACTGGAGTAGAAGCTGGTAAATTTAAAGTGATTCGCTCATTCACTGTCTTTGAATTAGTAGTATCTTGTATTATACATAAGACTCGAGGTTCTTCAGCAGCATTTTCTATCTGAAATTAAAATTGAAAAAGTAAATCAACATTATTTATCTTTAAAAGAAAACAAAATAACTGTGATTAACCACACATTTTAAGATTAAATGCAAAAGAACTAACAAAGAATTCCGGTTTGCCAGAAGGCCCAGGTGAGTGGGGCTCCTGGTTCGGGGGAGGGTAATTCATGAAAACAAACCTTCCTGTGGTGAACCCACACCATTACAGCCTCCATAAGTCTCAGTACATCAAAAACTTAAACTAGCCTTTTTTAAAAATCACCGAACTGAGGAACTCCTAGATTTTTAAGCTTGTACTCAAGGCTGTCTGCATGTGACATAGCCCCAACGCCTGTCAGCGTGGGGGGCGGGGCTTTCAGTAATTATTGAAAACGGGGAGGAGAAAGTGAGGGTCATCTGCCCCAACGTGTAATTTCAGCGCTTGCAGTGGGCAGAGAGTGGGCAGGCAACAGGGACAGGAGAGGAACAAAAAAAAAAAAAAAAAAAATCATCCAACAGTACAACAGTATTTGCTTCTATTCCCTTTTTTTTTTTTTTTTTTTTGGGGGGGGGGGGGTTTAAAAAAAAAAAGGGGGGGGGGGACAAAAAAATGGCGCCTGTCTGACGTCATCAGGCAAAGACAGTGTCCTTACAGCCAAGTGGCCTCTCAGCCATACCATTAACGCCATCCCCACACCTCCGCCTTCCCCAGACCCAGACCAGAACTCAATCACCCACCAGAGCGTGCCCTAACCTTCGGAGCGCGCGTACACACCCCGCTGACCCCGCCCACGCGAAATAACAAGCTAGAGCCCTGCTGGGGCCACCCAAACCCCCCCTCCACCCCGCACTGCTTGCAGCACCTCAGCACGAGCACCACCCTGCCTACGAGACCCACCACAAGCCCCGCACCGCCTGACTGATCACTTGCAACCCAACCCCGCCCACCAGACCCACCAGGCTCCCCCACAGGATTATTCCCTCTACCTCAGACAGCATGCCCGCACCCCTCTGAACACACCCACACGCCATAACAAGCGGGAGCCCTGCCCAGCCTCCCAGAACCCCTGTGGGACCCACCCTGCCGCAAAGCTTATTGAACTGCAATGGCGGTGATTCAAGCCCAAGAGCCAATCCTCGGGACACTGCGCACTCAGCCTAGGCTGAGACGCAGAAGTGCACCTATCTGGGTCTGCTTTTTGCGCTGGTCTAGCAGGAGCCCTGGAGTGACTCTAAGGGTTGAGATGGTATACAGAGCCTTATGAACTGCAAGATCGGTAGTTCAACCTCCGTCAGCTGCTCCTCAGGAACCCTATCTAGGTCTCCCTTTTATAACCAATTTAGCAGGAGTCCCAGCGTGGCTCGGAGGGCTAGGGCGTCACTACAGAGCCTCTTGAACTGCAGGGCTGGTGGTTCAAGCTCACCAGTTGCTCCTCAGAAACCCTATACAGGGCCGTTACAGGTCAATTGACCCGACAGCGCCTAACAACCAGGAGAGGAGGGCAGAGTGACTGAAAGAGAGAATATTAAAGGCATACCTACATTAAGCCACAGACTTTCCTAGTAGTATTATTGGTTTTCTTTTTTGGGAGGGGGGTTTCTTTCTTTTTTCTCTCCCTCTTTTTTGTGAGTGGAAAATATGGTATTGAGTCTTGTTTTGGCTGGTGCTACATCATTTCCTTCTAATTTTATTATATATGTAATATTTTTTTCCCTTTCCTTCTTTCTTTCTTCTTCACCCCTCACCCCTACCCTTTGGGACTGCTGTATTAAGCTTTGATCTCACTGGTCCTGCATTATTTTCTTCTGGGTTTTATTCTTTCTCTTTTTCTTTTTTCTATCTCTCTTTTTTCTCCTTTTTCCCCTTTCTCCCTTTCTTGTTTTTGCTTTTGATTCTGACGTTTTATACCCAGCTGCGGTTGTTTGGCTGTTACAAGCCTCCCTTCTACTATTGGAGGGCTCTTTGTCTCCCTAGTCTACACGAGAAGAGTCAGCAACTGCTGCCAAATAGCCAAGCTACATTCACACTGTATTAAACACCAAATCCAGGCAATAACCAACACCAGCTACTAGATACCAAGGACACAGCCAGCACCTGTGACCATATCAGCACATGTCCAGAAAAAAGATAAAATATCTGAGACAAAGGACCCAGAAGTAGACCTGGACTCCATTCTGAAAGGAGGGCAGGCCCTGGAAATACCTGAGAAAGAATTCAGAAAAATGATTATAAAATGTTTCAAAACACTTTACAATGGAGTTGAGAAAAATAAGGAAGAAGTCAGGAAAGTGCTAC